CTGAATTGTCTAAGAAGCCGAAGGAATACCAGAAGGCAGTTTTGTTGCATACGTTAGGATCGGAAGGGTTAAAGGTGTTCAACAGCCTAACGTATGCACAGGGCGAAGACCGGATGATATAGAGATTATCATTAAAAATTGTCAGAATCTGATTGTGGGTCAGACCATGAGAACGCTCGAGCGCCTTCATGTTTTAATAAGCGGGATCAGTCGCCAAGAGAACAGCATTGGAGGCTTATGTAGCAGACTTGAAAGAGAGCTGGCGAACTGTAATTTTTGTACATGTTCTTCAAGATGTCTGATTCGTGCACCGTTATACATACTTGGCATTTCTGATTCTGCCAACAAGCAAAAAGGCTTTTGCCAGAGAGGGACTGTGAAGCTCCCAGATGCAGTAGATATCTGCAAGTCTTTGAGCAAGGCTCGTACTCATTGGCAGATGACCTTGGAGAACGAACGGCGGTGATACATAAGGTAGAAAGGTTTAAGAAAAAGCGTACACAGATAAAAAGACTGCAAGAAATCGCGAGATCCGCCTAAGATGAGACAATTTGAAGCTGCAAGTTCTGTAAGCAGGACACAACAACGCTAAGAAGGAAGAGTGCTCCAGGCATCGAGAAAAGAGTGCAATAAATGCCAACAGAAAACGGCATCTTACGCGTTTGCTGTAGGCAAAAAAGAGTTACCAGCCGGGTAACTACATAACGTAATGTGAGATACAATTCCAGTTCAATCTTCATGCAGATACAGAAGTCCATCAAGTGGGCATTGAAGTATATTGCCACAGGTACAAAGCGCGCAAGAAGGACTTTAGTCGCGCTGAGAGTGGGGAGCAAGAAAAGAGATTTTTCAATAGAACTCTGAGCCAGCGTGAAATGTGGTCCCGCAGAGGAATGGTTTCTGATGGCGGATATTGTCAGAGAGAGAATTAATCTTGAAGAATGTATAATGGCTGGCAACCCTACAGCTCTAGGGCGAGCCAAATCAAGAGTGAAAATGCCAGACTGCAAGAAATACAAAGGTACATTGCAATTGTAGTCAAGAGAAGATGGATGACACCTGCTTCTGAGTGGGCATCAGCAGAACAGATGAAGTCTTCTCACTGTCCACTATGAGAAGCTTTGAGAGGCCGTGAACTTAGTGGCACTCCTCAAGATGTGATGGATGAATATCCTGAGGCTGTTTGAATTGGCCTCAAAGGTTGGCAGTTTTTGCAAGGGAAAGAAGATCCATTTGCGCTGACAGAGGATGGCAAGACAACAGTAAGACGCAGCTAGGGTAAGTTCCGGAAGCAAGCTTAGGAACAAAGTGAAAACGGAACTGATGAGTTGGTGAGCCGAGGGATTATCCAGAAGGACAGAACCACCGATTTGGGTAAACCAAATGGCCATAGTCCAGAAGAAAGTCTGGGAAGGTGGCGTCTCCTGTCTAGATCGCTCGACCTTGAGATCAAATGCTTATGAGAGAAGCAACTACTGCCATTGAGGCCAGTGGCTAGATGACATTCTACCGCAGCTGTCACAGGCACAAGGTTTTTTTCCATCTGGATTTGAAAGGATGGGTACCTTCACTGTCGTTCTAGATTGAAGAGTCAAGCCTTGCTAACGACATTTGGCTACGCATGGGGAAGATATAGATACAAGAGGCTCACCATTTGGCCTGAATATTAGCAGTGAGGTGTTCGGCAGAGGCGTCTGCCTCAAGCGCTTTGATGGCTTGGATGGCGTACGGTGTGTTGCAGATGACATCATCGTCTGGGGCGCTTTTATGTGAAGGAGCATGATAGTCGTCTTTGCAGCCTACTTCGAAGGTTCGGGAGATGAGTCGTACTCAAAACTGGCATCGGCGGACTGAGAAGCCCGCCGGCGTATTCGCGTTAGAGGACCCAAGTGTCAGTTCCGACTAGCCGAGATCCATTTCTGGGTCATGTCATCTCACGCAATGGGTTGAAGTAAGATCGGCATCGAAAACTGAGGCTCATACTTCGTATGGAGTGCCACCACAGAAACAAAGATCAAGGAATAATTATTTGATCGACTCGAGGAATGGTCAAATTAGCTATCCCGGTTTCTTCAAGATTGGCAGATGTGATGCAAGCCGTTGAACGAATCTCCCGTAAGAATGCCTGATGGACTTGGATGGCCAACCATGATAATGGCATGCCAGGAGCTGAAGCAGCTTATGAGCTGAAGGGCCAAATATTGATGTACTACGACCAAAGACAAAGCCCCTTGGTAATTCACACTGATGCTAGTGCAAGGGGACTGGGTCGCTGTTATGACTCAAGATGGCAAGCCGGTAGCGTATGCCCCGTAGGCATTGCGAGACGCAGAACTCGCTACTCTGTCATAGAAAAAGCGTGCTAGCCATAGTGTAGGCGCCCTTGAAAGGTGGAATCAGTTCAACACTTCGGTCGCAAGGTAACAGTCTTCCTCAGACCACATGGCCTCCTCCCAGCATCACAAGAAAGCCGCTGGATAAGAGCACCAAAAACGGCTCC